TATATATATATATGTGTGTATATACGGTAAGGCTATTCTGCAGCTGGCCATAAAATAAGTTATTCTATAGCCACCTCCATTTATGATAATTTTATATACCAATTTACGATAAAGTGAATATATATTTACGATAGTTGTGTTACTATAACACATGAGGATATTACCATACCGTTATAGAACTACTATCCTGTAACTGATTACAAAATAACTTATTCTGTAGCCACTTTGAGTTACTATAATTACTATGTTAATTTACGAGGTTATAATAACTCCTTACTAAGTGGTTTACTATAACATTATGATAAATATCTTCATGTGTTATAGTAACCCAACTATCGTAAATATGTATTGACATTATCATAAATTAGTATATAAAATTATCGTAAATGAAGGTGGCTACAGAATAATTTATTTTATAACATATATATATATATATATATATATATATATATATATATATATATATATATATATATATATATATATATACACACACACACAATCATAGATCAATGAATGAACAACAGTTTTTACTTTATTAGTGATCAACCGCTATCTTAGTGGTAGGAGGAGCAGAGCGGGCAGCAGAGTGAATGGACAGGTGATGATAAATTAACTAGATATTAATATACAAACGTGTCACATGGCCCTACACCATGTGTCTGTTCGACACTCGAGTAAGGCCGTGTTTGGCAGGGCTCCGCTCAGCCTGCTCTTGTGCGAGAGCCGGAGCCGGAGTGCCGAAGCCTCATTTTGTGGCTTCGCTTGCCGTACTAAAAAAAGAACTCCTCCCAACCGATCAAAGCACCAGAAGGGCTCCTCTCCTACCAGCGTTTGGTGCGGCTCCACCACCGAAGCCGGAGCCGGAGCTATGCGGGAGCCGCACCAAACACACCCTAAAGCTCGGACGAATGGACCAAGAATTACCGTTTATTTTACTGCCTGTGTAGTTTTACTGGTGTGTGTGGTCGCCCACTCGGACATTTGAATTTGAAAAGAGAGCGCCGAAAGTACCACGCAATTTGGAATTTTAAATACACGAGCTACGACTTTTTAAAATAGTGCCCCGCCGGCCGCGGCCTAGCGGGAAACGGCTATAAAACGAAGGACGAACTGCTCGTCTCGTCACCGACACCAACGATAGTAGGCTTAAAGATCCAAAAATTTTTGGGTTTTGGCTACTGTAGCACTTTCGTTTGTATTTGACAATTAGTGTCTAATTATGGAGTAATTAGTTTTAAAAGTTTCATCTCGCGATTTCTCACCCAACTGTGCAATTAGTTTTTTTTTGTCTACATTTAGTACTCCATGCATGTGCCGCAAGATTCGATGTGACGAATACTGCGCAAAAATTTTTGGAATCTAAATGGGGCCTAAGTTCAAACGCTGCATTGCTGCCCAGGGAAAAGAAAAACTTTCTAGTTTCTACGATCAGGCACCCGGTCCGTGTCTCCCCTGTGACTGTGAGCATCGCATGGATCGGCGCTATTCTGGGCTAACCAAGGTAGGCTTCAGTGTCCTAGCGTGCAACTCGGCGCTCGCCGTCTGCAAATCCTGGGGCGACGCAGGCGCCGTCGCGTTCGTGCTCGTCGCGGACGCGGCCCTCGTCCTCCTCTTCGTCTGCCTCCGTGAGTTCGAGCGTCGCCGCGGCAGGGCAGGGAGCGGCAGGGTCAAGGCCGCGGTGTGGGCGCTCACCGCGCTGCTGACGGCGATGTTCGCGTCCAGGGTGGCTCCGCTCCTGCCGCCGCCGGTGGACGCCCTGGTCTGGGGCATGGCCGTGGCCACGGCCGCCGGCGGGCTGTGGGCCTTGTTCTTCAACTAGCTAGTACCTAAGTTGCAGTCGTGCATGATCTGTATTTGCCTGTCGTCGCTTCACATAATCCTATTCCTTCCTTCGTCACCTCGGTTTCTTCTTATAGAACTGGATTCCACATCATTACGTTCGTAGCTCGACAAATAAAAGTCAAACGTCGTCTTGAATCTTGATAGTCGCTGTAGTTCAATGAGCGTCGGCTTGATGGAGAGAGAGCCGCGTCGGAAGGGACAAGGTGCCGACTGCCGAGGCAACACTGCAGTGCTCTACGGAACACAGATTTTTTTTTTGATTCTGAGGCTCGCAAATGATGCGGTGGCGCACCGTTTACAATAATTTCCCTCTTTCCTTTTGGTGGAAATTTGGTTTCTCAAGCAGCATCATAGGTACCGTCTGTACCGGATGGTTGAAATCTAGGAAATAAAATCTAGGACACCGATTTTAGGAACACATCCTACATTCCAATAGAATATGTGGATACCGAGGTTTTAGAATTCCTGTCGGGCGTGGCTAGCGCCCGGACGTCCGGACGGACACGCGCGTCCTGGATGCCCGCTCCCGTCCGCCTTCGCCCCGACCCTGTCCGTTTTCGTCACCCCCCACGCACGCATTTCGCCCCGCCTCTGCCCGCTGGTCGCCCTTGACCCCCTCCTCTCTCTTCTTGCGGGCTGCACTCAGGAGCCGGGATGAGCAACTGAGAACGAGCACGCCCCCAACGCGCTACGACCGCAACACCACCATCCGCCGCCCCCCAGCGGCACCGTCCACCGAACACCCCGCAAGACGCCCACGCCCAACCCGCTCGAACCCGGCCATAGATGAAACATTTGAATACAACGTACATCTGAAAAGTGGATGAAACATTTAAAACACACACTTACAACATGGGTGTAAAACACACGAAACATCCAGATTTGCAACTCGCAACATGAAACCATTTGCTGCAACATAAGACTAAAATAACTGAAATATTTGGAATATATTGTTGCAACATATGTGTGAAACATATGCAACATCCAGATAAAAAAAGATTGCAATAGATGTCTAGAAACAGATGGAACATTTTGAATAAACGCTTGTAACATGCCTCCGAAAAACTTGCACATATACAATGTAACATCTCCCAATCTACTTTTACAAAATCAAAATGAAATAATTACAACATACATCTGTAACGCCTGAAACATTTGAATCATACATATGTAGCATAGGGGAGGGGAGGGAAGGCCGGGCCAGTCGATTCCGGCCGTCGAGGTGGGAGCCGGCGGCGAGCCACAGTCCGCGAGCACCACCAGCATCGGGCATGCTCGTGGGTGCTCTTGGCTTGGCCGGGGAAGACTTGAGGCGCCACGGCACGTGTGCCCCAGCGGCCATGGTGGGGTCAGCGGCACGCCCAATGACGATGCCACAAGCAAATTCACCGCCCTATTCGTTTGGTCTTGTTTGGCTGATAAGCCATGGCTAAAAGTACTGTTGGCTGATTTGGTGTAAGAGAAAAATATTGTTCGTTGGCTGAAAAATACGGCTTATAAGCCAAACAAGCCCAAACGAACAGGGGGCACATAAGAGTCGTTAGGTTAACAAGTAATCGTGGGCGGTCGGCGGCTGGGCCAGGACGGTGGTTTTATTTTAACAGTAGCGTCCGAACATTCGGATGGCCGATCACGTCTACATGCCTGCGGCTACAGTTGATTTCCTCTCCGTTTCGCGCGTCCACGTGTGGGCCCACGTCGCCCAAACTAGTCGCCCGCGTGGGGACCGCTCGTGCCCCTTCCTGCTTTCCATACGTATTTCATGTGCAGCACTCGATCTACTTTTGAAACATCCAGATGTAACACTTGCAACATATAAAAAAAATACAGATAAAACACTTGAAACATTCATCTGAAACACTTGCAAAAATAATTGAAAACCATTGCAAATATACGCAAACATCCAGATAAAACACTTGCAACATATGTGTGAAATATATACAACATACAGATAAACGCACTTGCAACATACGTCTGAAAAAGCAGATGAAACATTGGAGATATACGCTTGCAATGTACGGGTACAACCGTTGCAACATGTGCAACGTCTTGATCTACTTTTGCAACATCCGTGTGAAATAACTGAAACATACATCTAAAGCATTTGAAACATTTTAAATATACACTTGCAATATGCATCATATCCTGTTGCGGCCTTCTCCGCCGTCAGCATCGGGAAACCGTAGCTGTAGCAAGAGGCGAGGCCGGAGGGCTTCTGTGCTAAGGCCCAGCTCTTCTCCTTGAGCCAACGGGGTCGTCGGGTAGGCCGGGCAGCAGAGGAGGAGCAACGACACGAGCAGTAGGGCACGCGTGCGGAGCATCGGCCAGAACAGCGGCAGGAAGGAGTGGGACAGGCGCGCACAGCATTCGCCCTGTTCGTTTGGGCTTGTTTGGCTGATAAGTCATGGCTGAAAGTATTATTGGCTGGTTTGGTGTGAGAGAAAAAGTTTGGGCTTGTTTGTCTGACAAGTCATAGCTGAAAGTATTATTGGCTGGTTTGGTGTGAGAGAAAAATACTAATCGCTGGTTGATAAATCATAGCTTATAAACCAAATACGACCGAGCGAATAGGCTAATTATCAACAGAAACAGTGGTAGAGGAGCGGAGCGGGCAGCAGAGTGAATGGACAGGTGATGATAAATTAACTGGATATTAATATACAAACGTTGTGTCAAATGGCCCACACCCCGTGTCTGTTCGACACTCGAGTAAAGCTCGGACGAATGGATCAAGAATTACCGTTTATTTTACTGCCTGTGTTGTTTTACTGGTGTGTGTGGTCGCCCACTCGGACATGGTTGTGGTGCAGGCTACGACTTTTTAAAATAGTGCCCCACGGGCCGCGGCCTAGCGGCCGAGTACCACGCAATTTGGAATTTTAAATACACGAGCTACGACTTTTTAAAATGATGCCCCACGGGCCGCGGCCTAGCGGGAATCGGCTATAAAACGACGGCCGAACTGCTCGGTCGTCTCGTCACCGACACCAACGATAGTAGGATTAAGTTCAAGCGCTCAACGACACCCGGCGCTAAACTAGCTTGTGCAGGTGCAGGACAGCATATAAAATCTGCCGCGTACGTGGTGCTTACACACCACGACAGCACTCGTGAAGCTGCGCCAACGCCCAACGCTGCTCGTCGTTCGATTTCACATGGCCAACCGAGGATATTCCACCCTGACCAAGCTTGGCTTGGGCGCCCTGACCTTCAATTCGGTGCTCGCCATCTACAACTCCTGGGGCGACGCCGCCTCAGTCACGTCCGTGCTCGCCGTGGATGCCGCGCTCGTACTGGTCTTCCTCTGCCTCCGTGAGTTCGAGCGTGGCGGCAATGGCAGGGATGCCAAGACCAAGGCCGCCGTGTGGGCGCTCACAGCGCTGCTCACGGCCATGTTCGCGTCCGGGGTAGCGCCGACGATCATGCCGCTAGCCGTCGGCGCCCTGGTCTTGCTCTGCCTCCGCGACGCCGATCACGACCGCGCAAGAGAAGAAGGCGGCGGCGGCGGCGGCGGCGGCAGAGTCAACATGGACGGGCAGTATTGCGTGCTTACTAAGGTGGGTTTCGCCGTGCTGACGTGCAGCACGGCGCTGGACGCCTACGACACCCGGCGCGAATCGGACTCGGCGGCGCTCGTTTTCGTGTCGTACACCCTCCTCGGAATCCTGATGGTCCTTTTCGTCCGTGCATTCGCCCGCGGTCATGCTGCCGAGCAGGGGCAGGGGCAGCGGTAGCTGTGGGTCGTACGGGGTCGATCAATCGATCATCATCGTCGTCGTCATTTCCTCCTAAGGCTGTTTGGATCCTTCTTCATTTGGATCAATTAAAATCTACTTAATAAATTAGATTACTTAGCTTGTAATTTGATATTCCACCACTTTACCAAGTTCACATGTAAGCCTATCTCAAATTTATAGGGTGAAAGATGGAAACTCATTATGTAGATCATCATTCTACGTTTCTACTTTACAACTTATAACACGTTCTTCAATTCTCTGTCTGCTACGGTAGAAATGCAACACATAAGTATCTCTCGTATAGCCAACAACAATATACAAATAAAATCAATATACAACTATATTAGTTTAATTAATATGTGTCTAAATTATAATTATTAAAATGAATTTAATTTCAAAGATCCAACAGGCCTGAATGAAACATGTGTGAACGGACACGTTATCGATCATCATCGACGTCGTCGTCATCACCAGGCCAGTACGTATCCATATTTCCTAGTACGGTCTGGATACATATCTGGATATCTAAAACGTGTCGGATACACGATATGGACCCAGTATGCCGGACTAACCAAGTTAGCCCTGAGCGTCCTCACCTTCAACTCGGTGCTCGCCATCTACAACTCCTGGGGCGACGCGAGCTCCGTCTCGTTCGTGCTCGCCGCGGACGCCATCCTCGTGCTGCTCTTCCTCTGCCTCCGTGCGTTGGAGCAGGAGCGGGCGCGGCAGGGGCAGGGATATCAGGACCAGAGCCGCGGTGTGGACGCTGACGACGCTGCTCTCGGCCATGTTCGCGTCAAGGGTGGCGCCGCTGATGCCACCGGTCATCGGCGCGATTGTCTGGGCGATGGCCGTCGCCACGGCCGCCGGCGGCTTTTGGGCGTTCTTCCTCAACTGAATCCTTGATGCATGCGTCCGTGGAGAGATCTTGTGGGTGCATGCGCAGGAGAATATGTTCAAGAGTTTCTAGTTTGCAGCATGTTGTATGCAGAAGATAGATTGTTTGAAAAGGCTGTATTAAGTGATTTATTATATATGCGCTGCTTTCCATTACGATGAAGTAATAAGGTGCCCGTCTGTCCATCCCATCCTTTAAACGGTAATTGCCGTAGTGTCTTCATTTTCCCGTCTCGTACGTACGGTACGTCTAAAGAACAGCGACACCCGCGCGTCAGATACTGGTACAAAGGTGCCACGATATGAAGCATGAAGGCCCAGCTGATTTTCCAATGGAATCGTGCATGCCGACGACGCTGTCGACACGCAGCTTCCATCAGCGTCGTTGGCGGCGTCGGTGTTCACAGCTCTGCATCCGCACTTATAAATGTTCATGCCGGCAGCCTGGCCCAAAGTACGACATCTTGGCCTGGCACGGGCCCGGCCCGGTGTATAGGGCCGAGCCTAGCCACACGCTAGGCGGCCCGGCACGACATTTAGACATAGGCCCGGTGGTGGCCCAGCCACCTCGCAGCCTGCTAAGAGCCTACCGCTCCCCAACCCTAAGTCCTAACTCATTTCCCCCCTCCCCTCCCCACCCCGCCGCACTCTCCCTCTCGGCTCTCGCTCGCGCTCGTGAATCTCGCAAGTCACAAGTCTCCCTCTCGGCCCTCCCGCTCGTGGCCCCGCACTCCCCATCCGCTCCGACTCGTAGAGCTCCGCCGCTGCTCTACCGCGTAACCTGCAGGCGCTCGCTACCTTCTTCTTCTTTCCCCGCTGGCCACGTCTAGCCGCGCCCTTCTTCCCTGCCAGCATCAACTCCGCCCTACAACCTGATCCGTGGAGCCATGCCGTCATGCGTCACCGGCATGCCGCGCTGCCGCCCCTTCGCCACCCACTCCCCGCCTGGAGGTGATGCCGCCGCCTCCGTTCATCTCTCGTCGAGCTGCTGGGCCGGCACGGCCTACTAAGACGCTCGGGCTTTTCAGGCCGGCCTGGCCGGAAAAATGGCTCGACAGGCCGTGCCGGGCCGGGCCGGCCCATTGGCCATCTATTTCCGTAGTCCGCTCCACGGCTGGGACACGTGGACGGTGTTGCCGTGGCGACTGGCGGAAGGCTGACCACGAAACCGCGGTGCTTCCGGCTTCCGCGACGCCGTGTCTGAAATCATGGTGCTGGGTTGGCGTTGCGGGCGGGCGACGCCTGTCTGCTGCATCGCGCGTGTAGTCGTCACGGGGAGCTTTCGTGGTCCACGCGCTCACGAACAGACCTAAATGGCTTTCGTGGCCCCGTGCTGTTGTAAATAATCTCGCTGGAGACTGGACCCAGTGGCCCGACTGAACCATTAACGTTCTTTACCATTTTCCCCTTTGTCCTTTTGTTTTACTAAAAAAAAAGATACTCCTTCTCTTCTTTTATTGGAAAAAAAATGCTAGGACGTTCCTTAGCTTGCAAGTTTCACACACCCCCACGAGAGCCCGCCGGCTCGACGACCTTGCTGCCCTAAAAGCTAAGCAAGCTCACAGGTCGAAACCCTTTATTTTAATCAAATCACAATACACACAAATACTCACGTAGTTGCATATACACTTATTATCTCTACATTTTCATACTCTACTCCTATAACCATCTCTAAAACACAAAGCCTGCAATTTTTGAGGCTGATGAAATCATCACAAACACTTCGCTGTTCACGGATAGCCACCTAAATAATAGTGTCATCATCCTACTCCTATGAGCACATTAAAAAAAGTCTCTGTTCCCGTGTCACGTGGAGCAAGCAATAGTAGAGGCACGATCACCGTGGCCAGATCAAGACCGTGAGTTTTAGTGGGGAGGCTTCAGTCAGATCTAGCATGCAACAGAGTGCAGATGCTTGGGCCTATTTATCACATGGCCGACCGATGAAATTATCACATGGCCGACCGAGGATATTCCACCCTGACCAAGCTCGGCTTGGGCGCCCTGACCTTCAACTCGGCGCTCGCCATCTACAACTCCAGGGGTGACGCCGGCTCCGTGGCGTTCGTGCTCGGCGCGGACGCAGCGCTCGTGCTGCTCTTCCTCTGCCTCCGTGAGTTTGAGCGGGGCGGCGGCCGGGGCAGGGATGCCAAGGTGAAAGCCGCGGTGTGGGCGCTCACCACGATGCTCACGGCCATGTTCACCTCGAGGGTAGCACCGCTCATGCCGCCGGCCGTGGCCGCGGTGGTCTGGCTCTTGGCCGTCGCCACGGCCGCAGGAGGTTTCTGGGCGTTTTTCCTTAATTAATTAATGCTTTGGAGACAGTCGATGTCAGTCTGCGTTTCGCTGCCGGGCGTGTTCATTTCCTTTTTTGCTTCCTGCACTTTCTTGTATTGTTTCCCAGTTCGTCACTTTGAATAAAATCTGCCTTCGAGTTTGCGCTGCTGGCAGAGAGTGGTCCTCTACTTCTACCCCGTTGACCACCGCTCGTACTCGCCTCATCGTGTGCTTGATTTGAGACATGGTAGGACGGAACGGTCTTGTCATGATTTTTTAGGCCGGACAAATCTGTTCTGCGTTTGGTTGAGATATTTTTTGTTTATTCGGTAGATTGTGGCCATGGTTCACGGCGTCAGCGTCTCACCGACAGCCACGTATGTAGGCTCCAATGTCATGGCATCGAGACATGTTATCTCGGTGATGTAGGGCATGACGTTGAGAAAAGGATCCAAAGTTAAATTTACGTGGTCTAGTGGTGTAAACATAAATTTTGAAAGAAAAAAAAGGCAAATTTGCACACACAAAAAATCGGCTAAATAGGGGGTATATTCCACTCGAAAATGGTCCCGTCCCTGATAGTCCTCAAACATCTTGAAAATAGGATCAATTCATTCCATCATCCTCTATTCGCCCATCTCCAGAACCAAACACATGCTAAGCGCCGTTCATAAAATGAACCAAATCATATCATGTGGCCATATGGGAGTTGAGCTATTATCACGGTCGGCTTGGTATGAATAGCTAGGCGGTTGGTGGACGGTGGCGGCGCCGCTTCGGTCAGTCGGCTGGCTGTGCCTTTGCACACGTATGGGGCTTTGAATTTGAACACTGAGGGCCTGTTTGTGAGGGTGGCCCGACGGCCCGGCTGCGCTCTCGGGCTGCAACCTTCCATGTTTGGCGCACCTAGCCCAACTTCAGAGCCTGGCCCGCACGAGATCTAAAGCAGCTTGGGCTAGGCCCCAGAAAAACGAAGTCTCCCTTCGTTTTTTCACGGACCGCTCCTCGAAGCGCTCCGTGGATCGATCTGGTTACCTCCTTCTCCCTTCCCTCACCTTCCGCTCCTCTCCCGGCGTCCGCGCCGACGACACGAACGCAGGCACGGCCAAGGCAGCGGCGGCTGGCGCCACCTCGTCGTCCTCCACCTCCTCCGGCCGCGGCTCCCTCGCCGCAGCGCTCACCTCGCTCATGGACCCGCCTGTCCTCTACCCGTTCCAGGAGCTCGCCGCCGCTACCAACAGCTTCCTCGTGAAGCGTGCAGGCGGGGCCGCCTCCACCGCCTATTGGCGCTGCTCCCTCCGCGGTCACGACGCAGCCCTTTTCCAGCTCTAGCGTCGTCCCGGTGCGGCGTCCAGCAGGTCGCCGCCGACGTCGCGTAGGGGCTCAAGCCGCTGCTGCTTCGGGCGCCCACTGGCGAGCTCCGGCCGCTGCCGCCTCGGGCGCCCGAACGACAGCTCCGCCGCTGTGCGCCCCACCCAGCCCCTACCCTGCCGTGGCTACTCACGGCCTCTCCTTCCTCGGCTCCGGCCCTTGTCCGGCGAACCCCACGAGCCTCGTTCTTCTTCGGCCGGTAGCGGACATGGCGGGGTCGCTCGCTGCTTGCTGGCTGGCCACTACGGCGAGGTGGAGGCACTGTCGCTCGCTCAGCCTCTCCCTCTCCCTCCCAATCTCTTCCTCCTGGTCTGCAATGGCGCTGGAGAAGGGTAGCGGCGGCGGCTTCTTGGCCGAGGTGGGCGAGTCCATGCCGCTCGCGCTGCACGTGTTCGATGAAATGGCAGTGACAACGTGTGGGGGTAATGTTACCACATTCTGAGTCCAGGGTCACCGCATCCATCTGTACAGGCAAAACAAACACGATCACAATTGAGCTCGGCTCTGCTGGGTCACGTTACCAAACAAGTGCAGTTGCACCACTTGACTGGCCTCTGCTGGCCTGGGCCTGACGGACGGGCCGAGCCGGCCTGAGCCACCGTCACAAACACGCCCTGAGTTACGATATAAACATATGCTAGCGCCAAGGCACACGTTGCAGGTGTGTGCGTCAATGCGAGGGAGACGTGGTGGATCGTTGTCCGTACCAGTGTCCTTTCGTCGCTTCCACACGTTCAGCATCCATATCCGCCACTAATAAATGACAAGCATAAATATCTTTCCTTGGCTTGATGAAAAACTAGAAAAAAAATTATTTAACCTCTATCGACTATTGCATGATTCCCATTTACCTCATACAATTTAAAACTGGATTTTTTTAGACTCTTCTAACTGAACGTCCGATTTATATCCTGGGCGGTTTTAAAAATGGTTTTGAATGAACTGGACGGTTTCAAAAGTTAGAAGAGTCTAAAATTCTAAAAAAAAATCATTGAGAGAAGTAAATCGGATTAGCACAATATAATCTAAGGTTCCGAGGTCAAACGAATTTTTTCGTGAAAAATAACAGCATTGGACCTACAATGGATTCCAGTAAACTTGTGTCTGGTTGGCCCAAAAGCCCAGTAAACACCGGCTTCGGCAGGCTCACGGATCGTCCCCAGTTGAAGGAGCCGGCAACAAGGCCCACTTGTAGCTGACGGTGCCGCGACAGTCCTTCCTGGGCCAGATCCATAATTGGCCCCGTTCGTTGTCTGAAACTTGGCTGAAACTGGCTGAAAAACGCTGTTCTGGCTGAAATGTTGTGAGAGAAAAACACTGTTCCGGCTAAAAAAAAAAGCCGAACAAGCTAAATTTCAGAC